GACGGGCGGCATGGGGGGCGCTTGGAGCGGCCCCGGCGGCCGGGCCGGCACCACCGCGGCGCCCCTCCGCTAGAGGAGGGGACCAAGCCGATTCTCCTCTGCAGCAAAAAATTACATGTATATATTCCGAAGATAATATATACATCGGATTTTATTTTTTTTTAAAAAAGTTTATTTTGCTCCATTTTTGAAAAGGAAGGAGCGTGGGTGGAGAGCGGTTTTTATAAATTATCCTTGTTTTCTCTTATTTGTCCCTGTCCCTCCCCACCCCCTGCTGAAGCGAGAATAAGCGCAGGGACCGCGGCTCCTACCCATCCGTCACCCCCTCGCCCATTGCTCCCCCGCCCTAACGCCCAGCACAGTGCCCTGCACACAGTAGGCGCCCAATAAATGTTCGTGGATGATGATGATGATGATGATGAAAAAAATGCAGCATCAACGGCAGCAGCAAGCGGACCACGCGAACGGTGAGCAGCCAGAGCCCGGGCACCGCTGCCCAATCGGACCCTTGTCACGGTCCTCCTCTCCTCGCATTGCCCCACCCCCACCCGAGGCGCCGGGCGGGTTGAGGGGGTTGAGAGGACGCTGCTAGTTCGGGGTCAGCTGTATGGAAAGGGGAGATGCTTGACAGCCCCTCGTTCTCCACTTCAGGCCCTGAATGTCAGTTATTTTGCAATTGTGGGGTGTGTGGAGGGGTGCAGAGAGGGGCGGCGAGTAGAGATGATTCCGTTCAGTGTCCTCGGCCTCAACTTTCCTCCGGCGCCCCCAGGGATGGAAGGGGCCTGTTAGTCTTCAGCCTGAGCCCCCTTTCCAGCCTCTTTTGGCCTTCCCCTCCTCCCCGTCCCCTGGTTGACTAGGAAGACGGTCCCTGGTGCTATCCCAGAAATTTCTGGGATTGTCCATTTTTACCCTTCGCGCCAGTGGGTGAAACGCACACCCCTCCTTTAGTGGGGGAGGCCCGGTCTTGGAATCTGGGGGAAGGGGGTCGGATGGAGCGCCTATTCTTGCTCCCAGCGCCTCCTATGCACACGTCGTTGGTAACCTAGCAATGCCCGGGAAGTAGCTGCCGCTGTGGGGCTGTCAGCCCCAGCCTCGGCCGGGGCACCACGTGCAGTTTCCACGCCGGCCCCGGCTGGGTCGAGTGAGGCTGGAGCAGCTACTGGCCCGCGCCCCCCCCCCCCCCCCGCGGAGATCGCTGGCGCCCCCAACCCCGGTAGGCTGGAAGCCTTTCCGGGTGAGCGCTCCCCAAGGGAAAAGCTTGGCCCGACTCATCCCTGGGCTCCGATTGTCTGCTGCCCACCCGCTTTGCTGCCTTCTCAGGCTTGCTAGGCAGGCAGACCCGTGCTTGCTTTGGCTCTTTACTTAGCCATAATTGGTTTTGCAAATGCCCATCCCACTACCGCTCTGCCACCCCTCTCACTTTGACTTCTGCCTGAGCAAGGAGGCCGTGGCCCAATGGGAGCAGGTGCCTGGGAGACCTGCCTCCTGGGGATGGGGACCCGGTGTGGTGGGGGCTTCACACACACACAGGCCCCTGGGATTTCCGCCTGGTGTGCACCTGAGTGCCAGCCTCGCTTGCGATGGTTCTCCCTAGCTAGGCCTTGAGGACGCCAAGCGTTATCCATTATGTCTGTCCTAGGTGTAGGGGTGCAGGCTGGCTGTCTGGGTGCTGGCTTGGCTGCTGCTGCTGCAATTTAAAATGCAAAAAAGCCCTAAAGATGTTTTCTGTTTTCGGAAGCTTGTGGAGGAAATGAGTCCTAAGCATCATGAATTTTCATTTGGAGGAAGTGTCAGTACATAATCTAGATATTTGTTATAGGGCTTTTGGTATTGCCCGGTGCCAGTGAAAGATTTTTTTCCCATGCTGGAAAAAATGTATTTGTGACTGTGGAAAGATGTTGGAGTAACACCCTGAGGATGATTAAGACTATTGAATTATTGGCACAGTCTTTGAGCCCGCATGCATGTGATAGTGGTAATTATTTTAGAGAAAAGCTGTTGTACATATGTGTTAACTCATAAGCGATACATGGGTTTTTAAAGTCAGAAGATGTACAAGAAATGTGGCAGTGACCTGAGCTTCTCAGAAGAAATGCAGTAAAAGACTCCCTGAAAAGACATGGATGTGAAGAAGCACTAACCTGCTCGGGTGTGGAGTGGTAATGACCCTGGGTGATTGATGCTTAGACCGGAGCTCTATGGACTTTTCTTGCCGCTTTGCCTGACCAAACCCCTGATTCTGAAAAACAGGACATGAGATTGAAAATGAGTACATAAGAACAATTTCCCCTGTTATTTCTGGGAGACAACCTTTGCATTTTTCTTGCACATAGTGGATTGTAATTAAAAATCATTCTTTTTCTTCTTCACAGAGGCAAACTATGCAAGAGGCACCAGACTCCCTCTTTCTGGTGAAGGACCAACTCCTCAGCCGAATAGCTCCAAGCAAACTGTCCTGTCTTGGCAAGCTGCAATCGATGCTGCCAGACAGGCCAAGGCTGCCCAGACTATGAGCACTTCTGCACCTCCACCTGTAGGATCTCTCTCCCAAAGAAAACGTCAGCAATATGCCAAGAGCAAAAAACAGGGTAACTCGTCCAACAGCCGACCTGCCCGCGCCCTTTTCTGTTTATCACTCAATAATCCCATCCGAAGAGCCTGCATTAGTATAGTGGAATGGAAGTATCCTTTTTCTGAGGGGAAGTCTTTTCTCATTTTCTCTTTTACCATCTGATCTTTAAAAGGATTTGCTTTTGAAATGACACAAAGCTGTAACAGTCTGGAATGAGAGCAATAGAAAAGCTGTACATATGTATAACTTGGTATATAACTTCCTTACCGCCTCAGGCTGCAGAGGGTTAGCTCTGAAGGTACATGTATTTACTGTGTGTATGTGTGTATATATGGTATGGGGGAGAGCAAAGCTTGAAACTTCAAAGCAGTAGAGAGTTAAAATATGAAACTAACCGTTGCTCATTGGATATGGGATGGTTAGTTTTAAGTGCGCTTTTGTTTCTGGGCAGTGGTATGCATTAAACCTGTTGCAGATGAGGTATGCTGATTAAAAAAGACTCCACTAGAAGTGACCGTTAGTGGAATCTTCTCATTCTGATGTTTGAAATTTGCTTCTACAATTACAGTTAATGCTAAGTTTGCTTCTAGCTTGACATTTGATGACTCCAATTGTTCAGATAGCTGTAAAGGTGAACATTTGCTTCATAGGGAGGGAATATATTTTATTTATTTCTTATTAGTGCTGTGACTTTCTGGAATTTCCTTTTGACAAGTTCCAAAAAAGCATTTGAAATGTGAGCATGAGGAAGCTGGTTCAGGGAGAAGTTTGTGTGTGTCTCTTCCTCCTGAGCCCTTTTGAGTTACAGAACAGTCTTCTTGGTAAAGGAATTTGCAGTTGCTGCCTTTAGAAAAAAAAGTCTGCCTCTGTCCTTGGACTGAAGTTACCTCTTGGGGTGTCTCTTTTGTGTTCTTAAAAATGAGTTCCAAATGCACCAGGATGGTAGTCATATCCTAGATCTTGGAAAACTATCTACTTGTTTCTACTCCTTCTTGGAATCTGGAGGCCATCCTTCAGAAAAGGTGGATTAAAGCCTTCTTTTTGAGCAAATAGCTTTCTAATTAGTTAGATGATTCACTAGCTTGAGTAAAATAAAGCATTTCCTTTCCCCTAAGGCTTTTTAAGGTTGATAGGGACCTTGGAGCTCTTCCTGACCATAAATAGGAGCAGGACTAGGGTATCTCCCATGAGACCCAGAAAGATAGGCCATGTGATAAGGATGTTGGTAGCCAGTTAGAAAGTGGAGCTGAAACCCCTTAATAATTTTTGCGTCCTGATAGTCATTTACATGCCCTCTGTCTTAGCCAGCTATTTTCTCTGCTCATGGGCAGAAGTTAAAATGAGGCAACTCTAGAAAGGTTTTGGAGAGAGCAGCTGAATGCTAGGGTAGGATTTGAAGGGTTTTAATGTGCGTTTTCTTTTTAGAACAGATGTCTCCTCTTTAGAGTGAGTTATGGCGTCTCTCACATAGCTGTGGGTGTGTGTGTATATGTGTGTGTGTGCTCTGTAAGTTCTTCTCTAGTCTGAGGATGGCACACTCGTGTCAGGCCAGGAGAGAGCTAGGTAAATTAGGATGTGCCTCAGTGGCCTCACTGGAGTCGTGAGCAGCAGCTGCACTTGACAGAAAGATCTCTTCCTTAGATTGGCTTGACGTGACTCTTGAGTAAGCAGAGACCTCTCAGTGCGGTCATTAATTTTATTTGGAGTGAAGTGGGAGGCCCATAGCTGTGTCTCTTTATGCACAGTAATTTGTACATAGCAATTTATGTGTACAGAATGAATTCCTGGATCACTCTGCTGTCTCTCTTTCCCAAGTTACCAGACACATGTGTACAGGAAATAGGGCACGTGGCTGCCAGTTTGGGGGGAAGTCGACTTATAAGTAGGACAGTTTGTAGAATGGGAAGTTATTAAATCATATGTGATCTATTTGTTTTTTTCAAATAATTCCTTTCTATTTCAGGGAACAGGTTACAGAAATCCTCTCCAAGCCAGAGCTTGTCAGGCCCAGTCAGCATCGGAAGAATGAGTCTAGCTTGTTTTTACCAACAGGCAAGGCAGAATGTCCTGAACAGAGGTAGAGTGAGAGGTGTTTCCCTTAACCAAAGGAACTGTTAGGATCAGAACCACCTGTATCTTGTGGCAGTGAGTTGGTATTCACAAATGTCTGTAAATGGAATCTGGACCAGAATAAAGAAAAAAATATTATGCTTAGCTTTCCTGAGCAGTGTTAGTATTTCTCAGATTTGCAGGTTTTTAAGTATTGGGAAATCAAAAAAGGAAGAATGGTAGTATGGAAGAGGGGAGTGACTAAGTGTATTTTTATAGAGAATAACTTTGGGGAAATTGACATTAAATTTCAGTGGAAACCTGCTAAGAGGAAAAATGAAAAGAGAATTCTGAAGTCTCCTTACAGTGGACTGTTTTAAAGTTGCATCTCTGGATAAAAGATTTTTATAACACTAGATGAGTTAAAAGAATCAATATGGATTAAAGTTAACTGGCTTAAAAATAAACTCATCAAAGATAGTAAGGGGATAATGTTATTCCTGTTCTTATTCTGGTGAGTTACCAAGCCTCTTCAAAGGGGCTGAGGTTTTATGAAACCCAAGATATCTCCAGAGAAGTAAGGGGTATTTATTTCTTGCATCATTTTGGATTTCCCAGAAGGGTGTTAGGATGAGTGGAGAATAGTATGTTCATATTCTTGAGTCTTTAGTACGTTCAGGGGTTTAGTTAAACCATATCCTTGCCTCTTGAGGAGGCAGTGTTGTAAAATCAAGCTCAGGAATTATAGATTAAGTTGGTGCTCATAAAAACCCCACATTTAGAAAGGCTGAAAATCAAAAGAAAAGCAGTCATTTTGGTGAATGTCAAATTTTATATTGCCAGTTTTGACAATGAATGTCTTTTAATAACACCAGAATGTTTTAGCCACTATCTGTTGGAGGCTGATCTCGAAGTGATTCTTCCAGACAGACCTCCAAGATTTAAAATTGTTAAAGCCTACTTTGAAAGTGTCTGGTGCTGATTTCTTATGGCTTTTTAATTGAATTTGTTTATAAATTAAGCACAGAAACAGCACATTATAAACTGAGCTCCAGTCCAGCTCTAATCTGAAACAGTTATAGCTATTGATTAGTTGAGAGAGCAGAGGAGGGAGCTGAAGCCTGGCTCGCTTAACACAGCGTCTGAGGTATTGGAACGTGCTGTGCCGTGAGAGAGTCACAGGGAGAATGGAGGACCTAGTGGCTTTGCCTGCCCCAGTTCAGATAGGCCATCTAGACTGATGCAGCCAGGAATAGACCCTGAGAAAATGGCTTTAACACATGGAGGCAAGGATCTGTGGAAGAGATTTACCCGATGATGGCTCCTTCTGTGTGTCTACAACAGCTGGGAATTCAGTAAGGCCCTTGATTTTTCAAGCTATAAGAAGCAGAAGTCTGGCTCACACTGTGCCCTAATTAGATACTCAGTACTTTTAGGTTTTAATATACAAGGTGCAGCAGAAGAATGAGTGTAATATGATCCTTGCAATAGAAAAAAAGGACAAGGAGAGGTTATTTGATAGGGCAGCCTATGTGAGATGACCACCAACAGTTACTTCTGCTATAAATCTAGTAGTCAAAAATAATTTGTGTGTCTTATTTTCACTTTAAGAGCAATTTACATGTGCTGTAACCTGGGGTGTGATGAGAGTTGGTTTGTGTTTATATAACACATATGTACCTTAACACAAATTTTCAGACCATTTGACATATTTATATTATTGGCTATTTTTGCCAATTGTGTGGCCTTAGCTATTTACATCCCATTCCCTGAAGATGATTCTAATTCAACAAATCATAACTTGGTAAGTGTCTGTAGAATTCCTGCTTATTTTGTTGTATGGTTATCATTTGCCTCTGTACTTAAAGTGGCAGCTGGCTTTCTGGATGTTTGAAGTTTACATGCATGTGATGTTTTCTGTAGCTTTGCAACAATTATTTTTGGTTTTGGTTTTTTTTAACTTCTCATTTTTACTGAATAAAAGTATTTTAAGTCATGAATCTTACATAAATAGATATGGAACTTTTTATGGAAGAGATTTGTAGCAAATTTTAAAATAATGTTTTTCTCTACATGGCTTTCGCTGCCTATCGTGCTTTTCCTGATAATATTTTTTTAAAGCCAGTGTTGTATAGTAGTAGTGTGTACTTTGGTTATTTTTCCTGGTAAATAGAGACTTACAGATTTTGTACATGAGCTATTAATTTGTATACAAGCAGAATACAGTGAAACTAATAAATCTACATAAAGCATAATTTGGAGATGAAAAGAGTATAGTATTGAAGTTCTTACACTAAGTTCTAGGAAATGCCCCAAAATAAAATAGTCTATAGTTAAAGATACCATGATACTTCCATATTCTTTATTTCCCTCTTAAATATTTATGGTGTACATTAGCTGAGTAAAAGCTCTGTGAAGTTTTGCAGTTAAAAAACAGGTTTCATTTTTGTTTAACTCAGATAGTCCCTAAAAGTAATTGTACATTTCTTGAAACGTATTTTTGGCAGAAGACTTTAATATCATAGAACCAGTGTTCCATGGAACTTCCTTTGAGAATGGTTGACATCCTTAAAAAGAAAAAAGGTACTAGAGTTCTATTCTGAGACAGGAGCTTGTCCCACTCAGCTGTCAACTAATTGTGTTTAGGGACATTTCTCATACCCTATCTGCGTTTGCGGTGCCCCCACCTGGCAATTAAGGGGATGAGCTAAGAAGATCACTAGGACTGTTTTACCTCTGATGTTCTGTCGTCTTTCTTTGATGATTTAGAAGCCATTTCAGGATTTTTCTAGATGCTGTAGAATCCTTCTTGCAAGGAAAAGTGCTTCATAATTGAAGGCCATGCAGAATGGCTCAGAAAGGAGGGAACCAATGCTGGGTAACAGAAAACTCTTACTGGCCTGCTTTGCCTCTTATTCTTGTATTGAAGCTGTATTGTAGCATGGCTGGCTGCTCTTAACTGAGTGAGTGTGGTAAAGGCAAACACATTAAGCTCTTTTTAGTGGGGGAGAGCTCTGCTGCCTTTGAAAGAGTGAAATCACGCTCTTGTGAATTTAGCCTTACTGGTTTATTCACAGGATTTATTACATTTATAATTTGGGGGCATATTTTCAGATGTAACGTGATGTCTATTTGTATTAGAGTTTTGGTAGTTTGATTTCTAGGGAATTTTCAAAACATTTTGGATATTACTGCTGAAAATACAACTGGAAATGGGAGTTGGATGCACCTATAAACACTTAGTATAAATTTATGCTCTGCTTAAGATTGTTTGTATAACTTTAAATATTTAAAGTAGCTTTTGGTGTGGTTGTAGGCATGTGATGTTAGATGAATGTTTTAAAGGAGAGGGAGGAGTAGTGAACAGCTCCCCATCAATGGGGACAGATCATTGTAGTCTAGGCCACAGATGGTGTTAGCGTTGTTACCAAATTTAACGATGTGGATGATGACCCAGTTTGTTGCTTTTTGTAGCTCAAGAGAACATGATTAAACAAACTTAGAAAATAAATACCTTTCAGAAAGGCAGATTAATTTAGATCAATAGAATAATTAATGTAGCTGTGTGTGTAAGCCAATTAATATTCTGATTTTTCTTCTCCAGGGAAATTCAGGGCACTAATATAAATGCTGTCAGACTATTTGGTTTCTCAGCTAAGAAGTGAAGGAATAAAATACAGGGAATAGATAAATCTCTCTTCTTCCCCCTTACACACCCACCTAATGGATCCTTTCTTTCTTTTTTTTTTTTTCTTAAATTCTTTTATTGGTACATTTTAGGGATACAATGCGTTTACACTTATCATTGGGTGCTTGTACCTGTACATGATGTATCTTGGTTCTTATTTTTTCCCCATTACCTGTGCACCTTTCCCTATTTACATAGACTTCGTTTCCATTTCTTTTTCTTTTCTCATAATTTTTCCTTTCCATTCTTTCCTTTCCCCATCTCCTCCCACCACCCCTACCCCTTTGGACCTTTTCCTATGTCAAAGTATCAGTTATTAGTTATTAATCCTTTGGATCCTTTCTTGATAATTCTTAAACATTGGAGCTTGTTCTTTTTTTTTTTTTTTGGTACCAGGGATCGAACTCAGGACCTCGTGCTTATCAGGCAGGCACTGTGCCCCTGAGCCACATCCTCGGCCTGGGGCTTGTTCTTAGGGGAGGCTGACAGTGTGTTAGTTTGGCAGGCCTCTGTAGAAACCAACATGTATTCTTTTGACCTCTTTACCAAATATTCTGAAACTCATGGCATTAAAGTTGCTTTCACTTGGATATCACATAGCTAGATGAGTTCATGCACTGCCTAACTCTTTAAGTAGTTCCTTTCCCACTGTGGGAAGGGAGGATCCTTGTGGATTCCCCCTGGCTCTGAGCAAGGTCCCAGGTCATGTCTGTCCTCCCAACAGGGAACCGGGTTTTTTTTTTTAATACATTTGACCCAATTTGTACCAAAGTGATTGCTCTATTTTTGGGATCAGTTTAGAGGCAGCTGAAGGAAGCTTATTTTTCATCTGTAGTAAATACCTTTCATTTCATGTGAATGACAAAACAGAGGGCAGAGGCTGACACAGGTTGCAAAGCTGTGTGTATCCGGGAGCTGGGGATTTTTCTTTGCCTGATAGCTCAGGCGGTTAGAGTGAGATTCAGGGTCAGCTTTATGGCCAGTGTTTTTGCCTATTTCAGGTCATTTGTAGTGGAATTATTACTTTTGTTGGATAAGAAATACCGTCATCCCCATAGGTCCGACATGTGTTTGGTCTGGTTTGTATGAAACTCAGCCAGCTTTGGGGATTTGGAGACTACCTTTGGGGCAGTAAGTTTTCCCAGAGTTAGACTTTTAAAAATATACATAGACAATATAAGTTTCTATGCAGCTTTCTTTTGTGGACTTCCAGGGACTGGTGGAGGCTGAAGCCATGGAAACAGCGCAGCTTAGTCAGTTCCCACAGTATTATCCCTCCCAGTGCAGCCACTTCCACTTATTAAAAGTGTATATCATTTCTTTTCTTACTGACGAACTCTTCTGCATTGCATATCAGAGTGAGGATGATTACAACTTATACTTTCCTGTGATAAAAAAATGCTTTATGTCATAGCTCAGCCTTCAGTTTCTCATACGCAAACTGATGTGCAGAGTTTTAGGTCTACAACCTGCTCCTAGGATTCTTCCTTCTGAGGATGCCCCCAGTTGCCTAGTGGGATGAACTGCCTCAAATTAGAAATGTCCAAAAGGGTGTCCCTACCTGCCATTTCAGACCTTGCTATCTTGCTAACAGCCCCGCCCACCTCTAAATCTGCTCTGAGAGACTGGAGAGCAAGATCTCTTGGCAGTTGTACTCCTCTATCGCCTTGTCTTTTCTAGCAAACAGCCTGGCTCATACCAGGTGCTCAGTAAATGCTTGTTGAACAGAAGGTTTTACTAAGTCTTTGAGTCCTTGGCCATTCTCTGTCCCTTTTTTCATCTTATTGAGGCCTGTATATTTGTACTTTTACCTTGTAGACTTTATTTTTCTGGTACTGGGGTTTAACCCAGGGCCTTTGCACTAAGCTACATCCTCAGCCCTTTTTAATATTTTAAAATTTTAAGATAGGTTCTTGATAAGTCATTAAGTTGCCCAGGTTGGGCTTGAACTTGGGATCCACCTACCTCAGCCTCCCAGAGTGCTGCATTTACAGGTGTGTGCCACCATGCCTGCCTCTTTGTTGACATTTTGCATCTGCAAAATCCTGCACATCTTTCCCTTCCTTTCCATTTGCATCATGAGTTACCAGAGAAGTGATCCTGAGGCTTCAGTGGCTGCTGACTACCCACCGAGGAAAGGCCAGACCCTGTGCTGTGACCAGGCTTGTCTTGGCCTGGCCTGATCTTTTCTTTATTTTTTTTTGTACTGGGCATCAAACACTGGTCCTAGCGCTGGCAAGGCAGGGAACGGAACCACTGAGCTAAATCCCCAGCTGATCTTTTCTTGTTTACCCTCTACTCTTCTCCTTCAGAGTTCCCCTCTGGCATTTGTTCCCGGAAGTTCCTAAACCCCCTTCTTCTACTTGTACACTTTTTGGCTCTTCTTTGACTCTTTCTCCATATGAAATACCTCTTCCTCCCTTTTACTTGTTCTTTGTATGTCACCATATGAAGCTGCTAATCTCAAGTTTTGTCTCTTTTCTTTTTTTGTTTTTGGTACCGGGGATTGAACTCAGGACTTTGTGCTTTTGGGGCAAGCGGCGGAACTGCTGAGCTAGATCCCCAGCCCCTTATGAGGCATTTTCTGATCCTAATCCGAAGGAACAGTCTTATTGGACCCTCTCCCAAGGCACCTTGCATATAAAATGCCATATACTTTTGTTATTTATATGCACATCTTTATCTTATCAATAATCTCCAGAATATAATCCATGGGGAAGCATTTTTGAATCCCTAGCCTTGCCTGGTACAATGGTACATAGGAGAAATTCAGTAAAGAAGTGTTGATGACTACCCGATGGTCAGGTCTTGGGAGTGCCTCACCTTTTCTTTCCTCTTGGGGCACATTGAGGATCTTCTTAGATGGAAAGTCCTTCTGTGAACTCCTGCAGGGAATGAGTGGGAGTTGCAAGCTCTTCCTGAGAAGCTTATGGTCAGTGACTCTGGTACACTGCTGGCTGAAGGAGCCCTCAGAGCTGACGATTTCATCTACTTGGGCTCTGGTTCCAGGGCTCATAGTAGCAGAGAGTGGAGGCAGCCCCTCTGCAAGCTGTGCTGGACTGTGGTCACTTGTCAGTGGGACTGAATGGTTTTCAGTGGCCAGGAATGTGTGGGAC